CCGATGACGCCAAGTTATTTCGGAAATTAAGAACCAAGCGGACTGTGAAGAGCTGCAGAAGGACCTCTGTGGGCTCCAGGAATGGTCGAAGGAATGGCTGCTGAGATTCAATGTCACGAAGTGTAAGAGGATGCACCTGGGGCGTACCAACGGTAAGGAGGCGTACCATATGTCCCAACGGGATGAAGAAAATGTACTAGTTGAGACTGTGTGTGAGAAGGACCTAGGTGTGTATGTTGACAATGAGCTGAAGTTCTCGGGCCATTGTGAGAAGAAGGTAAATCAGGCAAATAAATTATTGGGTCTTATAAGAAGGTCGTTCAGATATCTAGACGGTCCGTCCCTCGTGACGATCTTCAGGAGTGAAGTGCTTCCCCATCTGGAGTACTGTCACCCCATCTGGTCCCCGAGATATGCTAGGGACTGTCAGTTGGTTGAAAATGTTCAAAGGAGGGCCACCAAGCTGGTGCCTGCACTTCGGCATCTCAGCTACCCTGCGAGATTGGAGCGCCTGAACTTGCCTAGCTTATACTACAGACGGGCAAGGGGGGACCTAGTTGAGGTTTATAAGCATCTCAGGGGGCACTACTCAGTTGAGTGTCCTTACTTGGAGCTGGCGGACGCTCGCCCCACAAGGGGTCATAGCTCAAGATTGAAGAAGCCGCAAGTCCGGAAAACCGTGAGGGCAAACTTTTTCGGAGTGAGGGTTGTAAACTCTTGGAACAATCTACCAGAAAGTGTTGTGACGGCACCGAGTGTGAGCTCTTTCAAGAGAAGACTTGACCAACACTGGAGCGGGTTCAGGTACATTCAGGAGCCGGTGCATGCCCAGTATTTGCCAACAGTGCGTGACAGAGACGTGACCGATCGCCCGGGCTAGCGCGAGCCGACCTTTTGGTGAAGAATATAAAGGAAAAGAGTCGTGACCGATCGCCCAAGCGGCTAACAAGCCGATCAGTGGCGAAGAGGATAAAAAAAAAAAGTGACAAATACTTTAGTTAGTAATCAAATTTCAAGATAATTCCGTTTTCTCTCGTTACCAAATTAGAAACACCTAGGCCTGGAGGGTTGATTCAGATAAATTTTTAATGAGTTTGCCAGGATATGTCACGACTGTGGAGGGATAATGGTGATAGTTTTGGTAACCAGGAGAGCAGACGTAACCATTTAAGTAAAATGCACTGGTTAATAAAGAACCCACTGTGTCCATAGCGGCGACTCACGGTAACAACAACGCGTCATGATGTCCGGACGTCCAGACATATTTTACGGAAAAACTGGAGTCGGTGCCGCTAGTAAATTTCAATTTAATGACAAAAAATTTGATTTTGATTGACTAAAAACTGTCTTAGTTAACAATAAATCCTCCCGTTGTGATGGAAAGACCGAATTGTTGATGTACTGCCATGTCCTCCCGCAGCTTACTCGAAGGGAAGAAAAAAGGTGATAATAACAGCGAGGAGAGAGGAACATGAAATAACAGAGAGACAGACAGAGAGGTGATGAGTGGAGAGGTAAAAAATAATGACAGGTGATGGGTGTGTGAAGACAGGACAGGGAAAGAGGACCAGAATCAGGGGAGTCTCTGTGTGCCCTCGTATGGTCGCGTGTCCTCGAGGGTAGCCAGCGGAAACACTACAGTACACACAGCAGTTATGACTCAACCTTCGCCCCGCCCCGTCCCACCCCACCCCGTCCCACCCCACCCCGTCCTACCCCACCCCGTCCCTTTTCTCTTTTCACACCCGTCCATGTAGAAAGGATACGCTGGATGGCAGGAGGGAAGGGATGGAAGGGATGGAAGGTGAGTGTTGGAGGTAATGCAGTGTGGGGAGCGATCATACAGTTCTGTGACTGATGAGAGAGGGAGACCCAACCCAAGGTAGAGTTACGGTGTTTCATCATCAGGTGGAACAAACTGGAGTGCCTAATCTTCAGGTGATATCTTCACTCTTTTGAATAACATCGAGTCAAAGTTATCCAAGAACACCATGACAGAAAAATACATAGTTTGAAAGACTTACATGCCAGAGAGGTTCAGGAGATCAGGTTGTAGTATGTGTCCAAATAATCACAGGTGCCTTATCACGTATAGGTGTGGCAGAGTTGAAGGTCTTGTATAATATATTGTTGCTACAGTTACCAGGAGAGAGAGAGAGAGAGAGAGAAAGAGAGAGAGAGAGAGAGAGAGAGAGAGTTAACACAGTGGACCATGACTTTGTGACCTGGCAGAGAATATTGTGTGTGTTTTGGTTCTTGTATATTGGCATTATTTCGAAATAGTGGAGGTTCTTGACTCGCTCGAGGACTTGGTAGCGTCTATGAGGTTTAAGTCACGCCGACTCCCACCCACATGACGAAGGTGGGAGTGGAGGAAACAGGTGATGATGATGACACAAGCACACGCCTTCCTCCTCTACCACGTGTAATTATATCAATGCCTCAAATATTAACTTCAATCAAATTTTACTATTCCTGTCTTTTTTTTTTCCATTGTGAATTGTAGCGTAATGAGGTCATAAAAAAGTGCACTCGAACCATGTTAAATTTGACGTCTGGGAGGGCCACATGACGTCACGACTTATTCCACGCCCAAGCTTGTTCCCATTACGTTTCACACGGCCACATCCTCCCGTGGGAACTTAGTGAAGGTTACTGCGGGGAAAAAATATCCACGATGTAATTCATTCGTATTTTTTCCTCTTCTTTTTTGTTATGGTTGTGAAACAGGGTGACGACACTACATACAATTTTGACTTTAGAGTTTCCAAACCTTGAAGCATAAATCCCGGGAATAAACTCACCATCATTAATGTTAAGGATGGTGTAAGTATACATTATTAACTCGTAGATTTAAAATAGTCTCCAGGAGTTGCGCTGATAGTAACCCACAGTTTTAGGAGTGCTGGTGGCTCGGCCCTTGACCTACATAACAATCATACACTCACACAAAACGGAAAACAACAATTGGTGTGTCCGCGTGTTGCATCATTCTCCCTCAGTAATCGGTACCATTTTCTTTTAAAGTTATCATTATTATCCTTGTTCCTAACGGGTTCTTCCTTCCACATCCTGTAATTACTTCACATCCGCGCCAGGGAGGAAAGAATATACTGACCAGCTGTAGTGTGTATCAGGCTATCAGCACGTGTCCACCTTACGGCAGAACCAACGTGAAGTAACTGCCTTGCTACCTGTCAAACATTCCCCCTTTATGCATCTCTGAATCAACGTGTAAGACAAGCTGACCTGACCCTCACCTCACTACACACCTGACAAACACTTAATCACCTAACACAGAAAAACCTCACCAACGTCTCTGTAGATAATGTACACGATAATGAGTATAAAGTTATTGATAGATCCACTTGTATAGGCCTACTCCCTGGGCGGTTTAACAGTAGTACATGTAACTGTGTCGTAAGTAATGATCTTCACTCACACTAATTCACTGTGTCTTCTCTGTTCTTCTTCCTCTTCCACCCTCTCATTCTCTACTTAATGTTTCTATTTCCGCCTATCTTTCCTTACCTTATTGTGTCATTTTTACTCTGGGAAAGATTGATTCTAACTTATGGTGACTTCAGTGTGGCTATTATTGTTAAAACACACACACACACACACACACACACACACACACACACACACACACACACATCACCGCCCCTGTGTAAACATGGATGGTGTCTCACCTGTGGTCTCGAGGACTCGGGTCATGGATGTGGGTGTAGGCGGACCTGAGCAATGATTAGAGGACCTGAGCAATGATTAGAGGGCCTGGGCAATGTTTAGATGACCTGGGCAATATTTAGAGGACCTGGGCAATGTTTAGATGACCTGATTAGGATGACCTGGGGAAATATTTAGAGTGACTCCAAGGATGTTTAGATGACCTGGGTAATAGTTAGAGGACCTGGGTGATGTTTAGATGACCTGGGCAATATTTAGAGGACCTGGGCAATGTTTATAGAACCTGAGCAATATTTAGAGGACCTGGGCAATGCTTTATAGAACCTGAGCAATATCTAGAGGACTCATAATGTTTATAATGCTTAGAGGATCTGAGCGGGCAATGTTTATAGGACCTGAGGAATATTTATAGGACCTGGGCAATGTTTAGAGGACCTAAGAAATATTTAGAGGACCTGGGCAATGTTTAGAGGACCTGGGCAATGTTTAGAGGACCTAAGAAATATTTAGAGGACCTGCGCAATGTTTATAGGACCTGAGGAATATTTATAGGACCTGGGCAATGTTTAGAGGACCTGGGCAATGTTTAGAGGACCTAAGAAATATTTAGAGGACCTGGGCAATGTTTAGAGGACCTAAGAAATATTTAGAGGACCTGGGCATGTTTAGAGGACCTGGGCAATGTTTAGAGGACCTAAGAAATATTTAGAGGACAACCCCTTACCATAAATAACTCTTTAACTTTCCGGCATAGGTGTACAGGGTATATGTATTTTGAGACACCCTGTAGATAGATGACGCTGTCCACACTACTATGACGTGACCACAGGACGTACAGGAATGATTATATTTTCATTTATTTTACTTTTTATTTATTTTTATTTTTTTAGATAATATTGTATATATATTTAAGTTTTCATCGTGAGCAGCTAGACGACACAGAAATGCTCAACTGTTGGGGAGGTGAAGGGGTACGGGTGGGGAGGTAGAGGGCTATGGTGGGGAGACTAGACTAGTGTGCCAGGACTATATTTTCTGTATCATATCACCACTTATCAGCCTACTAGCCCTTTGTCCTGTTGTCTGTTATGACGTATATTGTACAGTGTTAGTACAGGAGGAAACTGGAGTACACTAGATATAACACACTTCTCACATCTGACCTGGGCTGTGGATTGAACCCAGGACACTACAGTGAGTCACGCACATTACTGCTGTACCACCAACGCAGGACTTAACATTAGTTTGATAAAGAGTTAAAACTGTAACTTATTATTAAATGAGTTGTGCAGATGACCTGATCTGACCTGTTTGCCTCTTGTTGCAGGGGGGAGCCAGACAAGTGTGACCATTATGGCAACACAGCTTTGCACTGCTCCTCCGCTCGAGGACACATGTCCTGCGTCTCCTTCCTCGTCAACTTCGGTGCCAACATCTGGGCGCTGGACAATGAGTTCCACACCGCCAAGGAGCTCGCCGCCATGAACAACAAGGACGAGATACTCCGCTACCTTGACACTGTCTCCGCCAAGCAGAGCATGTCTGACCCTAAGGTGGGTACTGGGGTTCAAGGTGGGTACTGGGTGGTTCAGGGAGGGTACTGGGTGGTCAAGGGTGGATACTGTGGGCCAAGGTGGGTACTGGGTGGTTCAGGGAGGGTACTGGGTGGTCAAGGGTGGATACTGTGGGCCAAGGTGGGTACTGTGGTCTAAGGTGGGTACTGGGTGGTTTAGGTTGGGTACGGGGTGGCTTAGGGTGGGTACTGGGTGGTTTAGGGTGGGTACTGTGGGGTTTATGGAGGGTACTGGGTAGTCCAGGGTGGGTACTATGGTCCAGGGTGGGAAGATGAAGAGCTGACCTGACCTGTATTATTTCTTTACAACAGCAAGTAAAGAAGCTTCAAGACAAGGCCCAGAAGGATGCAGATAAGCGACGGAAAGAGTTCGACAAGATCCAGAAGAAAGCTGGCAAGAAACGAGAGGAGGAGAATGTCAAACTGCAGAAGGAGAGACAGAAAATAGAGACCCATGAAGAGAAGCCACAAAGTTAGTGTAGAAATGGGGAAAATTTTTTTTGATAATTTTACTGAATATCTACCAATCTCTGTCTGTCTATCTGTCTGTCTGTCTGTTTGTGGTGTCTCTGCATTTGGGGAAAAATATTATACAGGGTTCTCAAAAAATATACTGTACTATATATATTGACACTACCAAACAGATTTTTGTGGAGATTGTATGAATGCTTGTATTACAGTAGCACCATTGTCCTCACTTAGTGGAAGACTTTACAGATCAGTGCTTGTTCAATTAGCACACTATGGATTATACTGTATTGAGAGAATGGGAAGAGGGTGGTAGGAGCGAGAGGAGTAAACCATGAAGAAGACGAAGGAAACCTTAAATGATGAAGGATCATGGATGCATTTGACAGGAGGGAGAAGGATATCCAGGAAGGAGTGGTGTACGTATGTGTGTGTGAATGGAGAGTTTAGCATTTTGTGGTTTATGGAGATAGATGTACTAGTGGTAAGTGATGGCACTGCTTGCTCGTGTGAAGTGACGTATGTTTAGGAGTTTTGTATAAAGGAAAGGACCGCAGTACACGTTGGTTACAACACAAGAATGTCTGAATGATAGTGAATGAAGGAAGAATGTTTGTTGGCTCTTGCACCTGGCTACTCTGTCTTATAGGGAGTAAGTGCAGATTATGAGAATACTTTTTGCATTCATCCATCACATCTTAAGATATAGGTTCAGTGCAGTAAAAAGTAGTACAGGTTCACATTAATTTTTAAGTTAATTCATTTCAGATATAATTAAGATGAATGAAATTGATCAAAAAGACATATATTGAGAGGTTTGTATGGTGTCACAAAGCTGAATTAATAATCAAACATCATGAGCCTTGTGCTGGTCTTCCTCACAGGTCGCCACAAGAGTCTCATGAACACCATCTCGCGGGGCTCCATAGCATTCCTCAATGGTTCCAGGAAAGACTCTCGCGTCCTCCACAACAATGCCTACAACAGCCCCAAGTTCTCTGACCTCACTACCTCCAACAACATGGCAAAAAAGACTTTGGGAGGCATACAGAAGAAGATAATCAGGAAGAAAGTCCTTGAGGAGACAAAAACCTCAGGTGACTTCAAGGTAAGAAAGATGGTGTAGGCTGTTCCTTCCTCCCCCCCCCCCCATGGCTGTCATCATCACAACAAGATGATGTACAGTGTATACTGTATAATCTACTCTGATTATATCTGTCTTTTCTGATTTATTTCCCCATTAAATAAGGTACTACAGTAGTTAATAAGAGTGGGGTGTGGTAGCTGAGTGGATCCAGGAGTCAATCCCCATTTTAATATTGGTGTTGTTGCTCCTAGACTCAAGATCTGAACATAATTTTATTTTCACACTTGGGGGGGGGGGGGCTGCTAATACCAACCTCCATACTCTCACTTTATTTTGAGTAAGAATTACCCCATTGCTGGGATGACTTCCTGTATAATCACACCTCTTGCTACAGTAGTTGTGATCTCATTGAACTAAGATATGTGTGTGCTCGTGCCCTTATGGTAAGAAAATATAATTTAAAAGTCACTTCGCTGTCCTGCTGGTTTTGACCTTGCTGTCACCCTTGCTCGTTCAGTGTTACTGTCCGAGAAAGTTTTTTTCTGTTATTTTATCTAATATGGGTTATAATGTATATGTGAAAAATAGCATTGTGTCTTGAAATTTTATCATTGTTGTTTTATTCTGTGAACTAACAAATAATTTCATATACTGTACTGTATTACAGATTACTAAGTGTATGTACAGAGTAAACACACTTAAGACTGTGTTTTCAGGTCACCTACTTAACCTGACATGTTCACAGGTACGAGAGGTGGAGTCGGATGGCAAGAGGTCAGTCCGTAACTTGTCCGGTCTTCGTCGGGACTCAGAGATCATGTTCGTGCCAGGAGGGAGTCTGAGCAGCACCAACAGTGAGTCGCCTGGATGTATGTGCTGTCCTGTGTGTCTCGTCTTGGGATCTTGTTATTACTAATCTTGTATATATCCATGACATACGTTTCCGAGGGCTTGTTAACCACGTCACTCAGTTTTTAGGTTTTTATTTATTGTTCTGTGAGTTCTGTATGTTATTGTAAGGGTCTGTTGTTTCCATAGTTTGAAGAGTTCGATAAAATTGCATTCAAAGTTCATTTAATTCTAGTAAAAAAAAGAATTCCTAATACCTGTACTGAACTAACTACTACTGTAAGTACTGTAATGTAGCATGTTCTTCCATTATCAAGGTGAGAGGTCATGATATATGTACAGAGTATTACCCTCTTAAGTTTATTCTTTCACTTAAGTCTGTGTTTTCTTATGATGGCTAGCAGCTGTTAGTTATTTCCATCACTTATCAGCTTACTAGCTTGATCGGCAATCAATCTGTTCCCTGTTATGATCTTCATTGTTCGGTGTTAGTACAGAAGGAAGCTGGGGTATCCAGGAATGCCATGTTTGATAGTGTGACATTGGATAACAACCTCCCCACATCAGGGCCAGGGATCAGATGCAGGATGTAGCAGTGAGAGGCAAACGTGCTACCACTATACCACCAACACACCGTCATTTGCATCTCTTATATTTCATTTAAAAAATTTCCAGCCAGTTTTCTCTGTCCAGTAAGTTTCTGCCCGCTCTTATAAAACATCTTCCACACACCACAAGCTCACCAAATTACTAATGAGTAAATCATAGACATGCAGGTGTCTCTCTCTGTTCCCCTTGGTCATTCCATAGATAGATATCTATTCAGCAAAATCATCATACAAGTTTACAATTAGTTCAGTACTGTATGTGTATAAACAATGCAGGTATAAAGTGTATATACATGGTACTGATGTACAACAATATTTAATCAGTAAGGTAATTTGACCAAGGATAACCAACAAAGCCATCAGATGCTTATATCGAGTAGGGTCCTTTGCTTAGGCTGAGGAACTAATCGGTAATAATATGCCTTCAAGAATATAGTTGTTTCTGCTAATGTCACTTTATTGGCATATTGTATTTAGGTTATTCTCTCCACTCCTTCAGCCCTCCATTATAAACTGTGCTTTACTATTCTTACACAGGAATTTAAATCTATTGCAAGTTCCATCTGCCACATAACTTCATGGCATTGTGGAAAGAGGTGTCATGGGTAGACTCAATGAGGATTGTCACAGCTCGATGTACTCATGTCAACTGTGACTCCTAAGCAACTTTGTCATGAGATTGACATGTAAAAATAGATGTACTGGTAATTTAAGTAAAATCATCATATAAATTCAAAGTTATTCAGCATGTTTGTAGGGAGTGCAGTACAGTACACAATATACAAGTAGAAGATAGAATACAGTAATTTACATTTCAAGTGTTTGTTGATTGTTTTCTTGGGAAACAGGTGAGGTGAGGTGAGGTAAGGCTACTGTGTAATATTAATTGTTTATTAAGCTGTTATCTGTTTGTTTGTAGACCTTTCTCTACATTATTATATGGACAGGGAAATGTCTTGGTACACATCACAGGACAATAAAGGTTATAACACAAAGCGCTGACCAACCACTTCAATGGGTATGGTATTATGACAAATAAGTAAATTAATACTGTAAATGAAATATTGCTTCACTAAATTGAATCTGAAACTTTTATTAGCAATGTTGTTGTTTCAGAATGACTGTTTTTTTTTTCTTTAGATGAATGGTAACTGTAAATAACTGTAAACCATTTGAAGTAGTTTAGATTATACTGTACTGTACTGTACTATACTAGGGCATAAGGAACTGAATTGAATTTTTTTCAGATGGCAAGAGAGGGAAGATTAGTGATGTATTTGACAGCAGTGATGATAACAGAGAGAGGCCAATTCATCGAACTCTTAGCCAACCAGACTTCATATTTGATGGTTCTGACCAGCCCAACATGCAGTCACGGGGTTCACTCTTTGCTAGACCAGGCTTCGGCTCTGTTGCATTCAGGTCAGTTTTATTAACAATGAAATCTCAAAGAAACATTCACTCCTCCAAAATACTACCTTATAGCTCAGTCTGTTTTATTAGTGCATCATATTGTATCGTTTTCTCTCCACCACTGTTTGGCCTGTTAGCTGCTTGGACATTAGGATTGGTCAATGATTCTCACTGCTGGGGGCAGCAATGAGAAAAGCAAATCGAAATTTGGGAATTATAAAGCATACCTTTCAATACAAAGATAGGAAAATACTCCTTCATCTTTACAACTCTAGTACATCCTAGTCTAGATTACAGTACTGTATACAAGCTGGAAACACAACTTGCAAAAAGATCTAACATTCCTAAGAAAGGTGCAACATAGAGCGACTAAGATGATTCCTGAACGATGTCTTCTTGATAATCCAAGTAGACTGAGGGCCTTAGAACTAACAACCCTTCAAACAAGGCACAGTAGGACAGATCTCATTGAAACATTCAAAATCCTGAAGGGGATGGAAAACGGGAACCCAGAACATTTTTTTGTGATGTCATGCACCATCAACATGATGGGACATAACTACATGTTTGCCAAGTTATCATGCAGAACAAATATAAAGAAATGGTTCAGGAGGTGTGAGTTGTGCGGGTGTGTTGTGTTGCATCTATATAACAAAGTGTGTTGTCTTTTGGGCCTAGAATATTGTTGAGCGACAATAATTGGGCAGTGAATTCATAAGATCATAAAGATCATCTTGGTGATGTGATGTGACAATGGTTGTAGCATTTATTTTATTTGTTATTAAAGATTGAAGTACTGTATTCGTTCTACAGTACTTGACAAGACCTCAGCTGTTTGGGTACAATAATAAGATGGATGCCATATGCCAAGATTTATGAAAACAAATTTAAATTAGGTGTGTCCATGGCTGTGATTGACCATCCACTGGTCAATCAGAGATCGTAGTACTGTGCCTTCAGAAATTATAGTCCATAGTGATAACAGTGACTGCTGCAGAAGTGTGAAAATAGTTTAACTGGAATAAATTGGAGGAATCGGCACGTGGGCATATTCAGGAAACTGAAAAAAAATATAGTCTTACAAACTGGTCATGCATGATATAAACAGGAAATAAATATATATTCTTACCACAGATTGGCAACATGGGCTTAGGAAGAGTCGAGAATGTTCATAAAGTGATGTATGTATGATGCAATAGTAAGAGGTAAAGAACACTAATTGTTGGCAGTACAGTATGAGGTACAGGACACTTGTTTTACATTTTTATTAATATTTAACCTATGAACAATCATTGTTACTACTCCAGTAATTGATCACAATACTAGACTTATGCTTGTTGGTTGAGGGGGTAGAAACACATGGTAAAGTGAGTCCTGACCAAGGACGAGATGCTTACATCACGCAAGATGAGAAGAGACTGGAAGGCTCTCTTTTTTACTTTTTTTTTACTTTTATCCTCTTCGCCACTGATCGGCTTGTTAGCCGCTTGGGCGATCGGTCACGTCTCTTTTCATTTATATTCTTCACCAAAAGATCGGCTCGCTAGCCGCCCGGGCGATCGGTCACGTCTCTGTCACGCACTGTTGGCAAATACTGGGCATGCACCGGCTCCTGAGTGAAAGATAAATGCCTACTTAGTAACATAATCTATCCAGGCCCACACTTTTTATTCAAACAGGCTCATGAATGATCAAGGCGTCATGTGACGTGATCCTAAGCTCTACAGACACACGTCACAGGATGTGACCCTAAGCTCTACAGACACACGTCACAGGACGTGACCTGATGCCTAGGCGTTAAAATTATTGAGATGTCATTTGTTCAAGTAATTATACAGATATTCAATTGTGGATAACAGATCCCTAATCAGCATGTTCAGGAGTACATATGCTGTATTGAGATTTGAACCAAATTGTTAAGATACGAATAAATGCAAAATGATAGGAAAAACCTCTTTCTCATAATTGAAATTTAATGTGTGTAACTACTTAATGTAGTATTTGTGTTACAGGTCAAACTCAATTACAGCAACACTAAGCAGCTTAGGTACCAGTGGTAGTGACTCTCCAAGGGCTTCTTCTGCAGCTGATTCTTCCAGTTCCTTGGCTCACAGACGAGCTGCTCAACCCTGGGAGGAGGAGGTGTGTGTGTGCTGAAGATGCATCTCTCTTTTAAGTTATTTGTCACATAACTGATTTTTCCCCCACTCTTTGTATATCATATTAAGATACTGTACAAGGAGAGTCAGAAGCATTTTGTCCACCATTTTGCTGAAAGTGTCGGTTTAATTTTTCTAATTCTTTGGCCCGAGAACTTCAGCTCATTGTCAACATACAACATATAAAACTTTTAGCTTACTTCTAAGAATAGGATTTTAATATTAAACAACAGTGCTATTTTAGGAACACTATAAGAGCACATACTTGTACACCACTTTAGTCAGTTAGTTTTCAAATGGGTAACTTTACAAGTCAAAGTATCGTTACAGAGAATATGTACTCAAGTTGTAATAATTTCTTTAATATAGCCGTGCACTGTTAATAATTATATGAATTAAATTTTTTAGGATCTTCCATCTGATGATGATAGTGAGGCGACTCCAGTGTACTTGTTCCTTGCTGCTGCTGGCCTAACAGACTTCATCCCAACATTTGCCAAAGAACACATAGACCTTGATGCTCTTATGTTATTGAGTGAAGAAGATTTAGTAAGCATGAAATTACCAATCGGACCTCGTAGAAAACTCCTCAAGGCCATCGCTGACCGCAAGTCTGCCATAGAAGATCCCGGTGAAGTTCAAGACAGTCAACTCTGAGGAAGCCGTATGCAATAATTTTCTCAGATATGTTGCAATATTGTAATGTTTTCTATGTCCACTTTGCAGTACATTCCAAACTTAATTTTTTATCAGTGTTTGACTAAGTCATGCCAGAAGTGTAAACAAGAGAATATCTGTAATATACACATGTGTGGGTTGTCTCAGGAAACTTGTACTTCAAGTTTATGAAACAGAAATGTGCAGAGACAATACAGACTATTAACCTCGGTTTAATAGTTTCTGATGTTGGTAAACTCTGCTGGCACAGAACACTTATAGTTTCAGTATGATGTCATAGTAAGATTAATTTATTTTATTGTGAGAAATTTTCTTACATTTTATTATTGTAATTTTGGTAAAGTATTTGTGACAGGCCAAAGTCAACCATTATATACTAAAATATTTTGTACTTCTGAATACCTGTCTAGTACTGTATACTGTACTGTACTGGATTAGATTTTAAAATTCAAGTACAGTACTTCATATTGATTATGCCAGTGTATATATATAAAATAGTAAATATGAGTGTGTGTATATATGTATTTTGGGAAATACTGTACAGTACGTACTGTAATATAACAGCACTGCAAGAAGGCATCTTTCATAAAAAAGAACTTGTAAATTTAGATTTACAGTAACTTTTGACAGGAACCTTAAAAGTAAACTGGTAAATATGTAAACCCTTATGTGGTGATTGATAATTAAAAGTACAGTACCATATGTAACATTTAATTTTGTATTTGAATATACAGTACCTGTACAGTACTGTATTAGATAAAGTAATTACTGAGACTGGTGATCAGTGACAGTCACACTCAACATACCTGCTGTTTATATCACAGTCTTACAGTTACTCCCTCCAGTGTACAGTCCAGTAGTGGAAGAAGACTTCCACACATTGCTTTATCCTTTAAGGAACTGTGGGTAAAAATTTAATCAAAAGTACATATATAACACATTACATGTACTACACATTATTATGGTATATACTATACTACACATACATGTACTATAAACTACATATAGTACACACTACATGTACTATACATACGTGTACTACAAACTACAGGTACTATACATACATGTACTACACACTACATGGGTACTATACATACATGTACTGCACACTACATGTACTATACATACATGTACTACACACTACTACATGTACTATACAGCATACATACATGTACTACATGTGTACTGCACACTACATGTACTATACATACATGTACTACACACTACTACATGTACTATACAGCATACATACATGTACTACACACTACATGTACTACACATATATGTAGCACACACTACATGTACTATACATACAAGTACTACACACTACATGACTGTACTACACATTATATATACTACACATGCATGTACTGCATATATGTAGCACACACTACATGTACTATACATACAAGTACTACACACTACATGACTGTACTACACATTATATATACTACACATGCATGTACTGCATATACAAGTACTGTACTGCACATACAGGTACTGCATATTACATGTGCTACATACTGCTTGTACTATGCTACATTATGATATGAACTATGCCACATTACATGTACTATGCAGTACTACATTATATGTACATGTAATATCCTGCATTATATGTTCATTGCTACACTAAAGTACATGTATACTATAGGGGAAGACTCAGAATTTATCACAGTGAGGCGCAATACAGCTGTACTGTACTAAACTCTCCTGGCCAGACAGAGACCATTTAATAATAGTAGGTGGCACTAAACAGCTCTTGGTGTTATGAAGCAACTGTGTTTGTCAGATGGTTGTAATGGTTGAAATGGCTGTCAGAAAGAGGTGGTCAGATATGTTGCCTCCCTGTTATAGATACTGTACAGTGTATGGTGGGCTGTATAAGTCAGCGTGCCAGTACGTCACCCCTGCTGACTGGAGACAAACTCTGTCAGATCATGTTGCCATATCATTATAGTCATTATAGATTTTGTAGATTAAACTGCACCTCTTCGGTACACCATGTATTTTGTGTTGATTGTATGTATAATGAAATGATACATTGTATGACAAGTCGTGAAATTTGGACACATATTGTATACCTTTAATTAAGAGAGATTTTTATGGACTGTAATACTGTAATTTAGCTTTGCAGAATCAGGTTTCAGAGTTGTTTCTTCAGGCACATAACAATAACATTAAAGATATATGTGTACAGTATGCATATTCTTTCTAATTTTATTAATACCTTTTTCAGTACTGTACAATACTTTAAATGGTGAAGCTACACTGTATGTACATGTTTTCAAAGAAAATGATGAGGAGAGCTGGACATTTCCAAAAAGTTAAAAATTATGATAAATCCCAGAGCTATACACGAATTATGTTGTGAAATTAGCTTTGGTATGATGTATAATGTGAAATATCGACTTATGATACTTAAGACTCAGGAAAATATAACATCACAATCTTTAATGATACACGAGGAGAATAGTACAGCATCACAAAGCCAATGGATGCTTCTGGACTCGGCACGTCAACACACTGCAAGACGCTGGTGGCGATATCTTCCAGAAGTAAAAGTTACTATTTTGCCACAGTGATCCTTCCACAGTCATTATTATCATCAACACTGGTGCTTTAACCATAACTAATGAAGGCTGAGCAAGACAAGTAGGTACAAAAAGGTAACTTAATAAACTAAGAACTATGTCAGGCCTTGGTCTCCCGGAACTACTCCAAGATGGACGGTAAATATTGAATCGTCCAAATGATTGTCAACTTCTTGCCTCTCACAATTGTGATCAGGGTTCGATTCCCACTTGGGTCTGACGTTGAGTGCTGGTTGTCCCGTGTGCCCCTAGGGACCATGGCAGGTGTTCTCCAGGTGCTCCAGTCTCCCCTATACTAACACTCGCCCCATGAAGATAAAGATAGCGAGAGATGCGGCTATGTATGGAACAACCAGAACCTATATTCACTGAATTTAGTAAACGAGACAGCTGCTGAGAATGGAAAGAGGCTGGAGTCGCTACGAAGATCAGAGACGTTACCGAGGGCAAATTCCGACTTGAAAGTCATGTACAATAATAATGACATGTTCCTTGATAAGAAAGTGGAGTTTGAAACCCTACTTAAAGTACAGTAAACCCTCGATAACTCGACATTCGATAACTCGAAATTTCATATAAACCGGCATGGTTATGGTCTCGGAATATATTATAGTACGTATCACTCGGGAAATGCCGTGATATATAAAATTATCTTGGAAAACCTCAGGATATCTGGTCACTTGGGCAAGAGTAGCGCCACATGGGGTGCCGGGCTGTGCTCCAAGCGTGGTTGAGTTCTGGCGCTTGTTATTGTTGAGATTGGGTGTGCATGGCTTTCTGTCTCCACACTTTGTTCTCTGTTTGTGTTTCTCCCTCATCAAACATCACTAATATGACATCTGCACCTTCAAGGAGCTATAGGAAGGGCATGAAGCTCGAGTCTTCACGAGAAAAATAAAGTGTTAGACTGAGTGGACACTGAAGCATCCATGTGTATGGTGTGGGAGGAGTTTGGGATCAATTGCAGCACATTTTATGATATAAAAAAGAATCGGAACAAGATTCGGAATCACCTTCGAGGTCTAAAGTATTTAAGTGAAAATACTTTATACATGTAAGATTCTTTATTTTATGTAAGTAAACAAATTACTGTTGAGTAGTACAGTATACAGTACAGTACAGTATACTCTACATAAGTGCCTCTGCCTCCATCACTTCCACCACCTGCATCACCTACCATGCCTGTCACCCATGTGTCTATGTCACCTATGTATCTGTGTCTACATGCCTGTGTCACCATGCCTCTGTATCACCTACCAGTGTCTGTCTGTTGTGTCACCATGCATCTGTGTCACCTACCTACCCTCTGTCACCTACCATGCCTCATGTCTACCATGCCTCTACACCTACCATGCCACCTACCATGCCTCTGTGTCACCTACCATGCCTCTGTGTCACCTACCATGCCTCTGTGTCTGTCACCTACCATGCCTCTGTGTCACCTACCATGTACTGTGTCATCTGTACCATGTCATACCATCTCTCTGTGTCACCTACCATGCCTGTCTGCATCATGCCTCTGTGTCACCTACCGGTGCCCATTCTGTGTCACCCACCATGTGTGTCTGTCTGTGTCACCTACCATGCCTCTGTGTCGCTTACCCATGTGTCTGCTCTGTCACCTATGTATCACCTTCATGCCTCTGTGTCACCTCTGTGCTCTGTGTCTGCCTCTGTGTCACCTACCATGCCTCTGTGTCACCTGCCAAGTGGCCCTGTCAATGCCTCTGTGTCACCATGCATCATGTCACCTACCATGCCTCTGTGCCACCTGCTCCTAATGCCTCTATGTCATCTATGCCTGTGTCCTTACCATGCCTCTATGTGTGTCTGTGTCATGTCTGTCTACCTACCATGTCTGTAATACCTGTGTCCTATGTCATCTATGTCACCATGTGTCTGTGTCTCTGTGTCACCTACCATGTCTGTGTCCTCACCATGCCTCTATGTCCTTACCATACTCTGTGTCTACCATGCCTCTGTGTCTTACCGTAGCCCTGCTGTATCTTATCTGTGTGTCCTGTGTCACCATGCCCTCTGTACTGCAATATTGTCTGTGTCGCCTACACCTCATGGTCCTCACCATGTATGTCACCTGCTGTGTCACCTACCATGTGTCTGTGTCACCTCACCTGTCTCCATGTCACCCCACCATGTCACCATCACCTACCATGCCTCTGTATCACCTACAGCCTCTGTGTCACCTGCCTCTGTGTCACCCTACCATGTGTCTGTGTCTTTCCCACATGCCTTTGTGTCTGCATGTGTCTGTGCCTCACCATACCTCTGTATCACCATGAGTCATGTCACCTACCTGCCTCTCCCGTACACCCCACACCATGTGTCTGAGTCACCCTCTGTCTGTCACCTACCATGCCTCTGTGTCTGCCCACCTGTCATGCTACACTGCCTCTGTGTCGTCTACACCATGTGTTGCCTTTCCCATGCCTCCTATGTCATCTGCAGTGTCCATCTCCTACCATGCCTACCATGTGTCTGTATCCTTTCCATGCCTCTATGCCACCATGTATCACCATCACCCTCTGTGTCTGTCACCTACCATACCTCTATGTCACCTACACTTGTCTTTGTCACCTGCCTCTGTATCTGCCCCACCGCGCTGTCTGCATGGTCTCTGTGTGCCTACCATGTGTCTGTGTCACCTACCATGCCTCTATGTGTGTCACCCACCATGTGTCTGCATCTTACCTCTGTGTCTACCATGCTGTGTGTCACCTACCATGTGTCTGTGTCACCTACCATACCCTCTATGTCACCCCTACCCATGCATCTGTATCACCTACCACCATGCCTCTATGTCTCTCTGTGCCCCTCTGTGTCACCCCATGTGTCTTATCACCTACCATGTCTGTCACCTACCATGCATGCCTGTCACTACCGTACTCTGTCACACCACTGTATCACAAAGCCTACCATGTGTCTGTGCCTACCATGCCTTGTAGTCCACCTACCATGTCTATGTCTTTTCACATGCCTTTGTGTCACCTACATGTGTCTGTGTGTCACCTACCACCATCTGTGTCACCTCACACATGTGTACTGCATCATGTCACCTACCATGCCTCTGTGTCACCCTACCATGTGTCTGTGTCACCTACCATGCCTCTGTATCACCCATCATGTGTCTGCATCCTTCTATGTGTCATACCGCTGTGTCTGTGTCTGCCATGCCTTTGTGTCACCTACAGTGTCTGTGTCTGTGTCACCTACATGCCCTCTGTGTGAATGTGTCACCCCATGTATCTGCATCACCTACCATGCCTCTGTGTCACCTACCATGCCTCTGTGTCACCCCTACCATGTCCATGTGTGCCTACCATGTCTGCATCGCCTACCTACCATGCCTCTGTGTCACCTACCATGTGTCTGTGTCACCCACATGCTTCTGTGTCACCCACCATGCCTCTGTGTCACCCATCATGTGTCTGCATCACCACCTACCATGCCTCTGTGTCAGCTACTGGCGTCTGTGTCACCTACCATGCCTCTGGGTCACCTACCATGTGTCTGTGTCACCTACCATGTGTCTGTGTCACCTACCATGTCTGTGTCACCTACCATGTGTCTGCTGCCACCTTCCATGTGTCTGTGTCACCTACCATGCCCTGTGTCACCTACCATGTGTCTGGGTCACCTACCATGTGTCTGTGTCACCTACCATGTGTCTGCTGTGTCACCACCATGCCCCAGGTGTCACCTACCATGTGTCTGGGTCACCTACCATGTGTCTGTGTCACCTACCATGCCTCTGTGTCACCTACATCAAGTGTCTACAGGTCACCTACCATGCCTCTGTGTCACCCACCATGTATCTGCATCACCTACCATGCCTCTGTGTCACCTACCATGCCTCTGTGTCACCTAAGTACCATGTATGTCTGCATCACCTACCATGCCTCTGTGTCGCCTTGCTACCATGTGTCTGCTGTGTCACCTACCATGCCTCTACGCCACCTCCAAGCACCTCATGTGTCTGTGTCACCTACCACGCCTCTGGGTCACCTACCATGCCTCTGGGTCACCTACTCATGTGTCTGTGTCACCTACCATGTGTCTGTGTCACCTACCATGCCTCTGGGTCACCTACTCATGCCTCTGTGTCACCTACCATGTGTCTACAGGCGTCACCTACCATGTGTCTGCTGTGTCACCTACCATGCCTCCTGGGTCACCTACCATGCCCTGCGTCGCCTACCATGTGTCTGTGTCACCTACCCCTATGTGTCTGTGTCACCTACCATGCCTCTGGGTCACCTACCATGTGTCTGTGTCACCTACCATATCTCTGTGTCACCTGCTATGATGCTTCACTCTTCACCTACAGTTCTGTAAGTATTACTTATTTTACATTTAGTAATTACCTGTACACATATATTGGGTCGATAATTTTTATTGTATTTTTGTAGGAGGGGGAAAGTGCCTCGATAAGTCGGAATTTGGGATAACTTGGGATACCCTGGGTGGCCCCGTATGTGCTGAGCTGGTCAGGTTTACTGTACAGCCCCTTCACTAGTATATTTACAGGGGCTCATCAAGTTTTGTGCAGTGTGGCAGCCCTGTGTTTGTTTACATTCGACAGAAGGAAACAAAGCAATAGTAAACATACAATGGAATCAAATAAAAACAATACAAATATCTCAAAAATAATGATTTGTAGAATGTTTATATGAGGAGCCCCTGTAAACGAACTAGTGAAGATGACTGTACATTAACTCGATATAACTTGGTGCTGTAGAACTGTTATACCAGTCACCACGTATTGTTGTCCTTGGTTCATGACAAAAGCAGGTCAAGCTTCAAATATTACAAGAGTAATCTGATGGGAAGAGGGAGAGGCAGATGAGGGGTATTCACTGGCCTAACTCACTTGGGTATAAGAACGCAGACACTATGCTCAATATCATAGCCAGTAAAGACCCAAGACCAAACCCAGTGCCTCCACGAATCATGTGACAGTTGACAAAGTTAAGAAAAAACTCAGAAATTCAAGACGCGGGTTAGGAAAAGTGATGAGCAGGACAGGAGGATGTATGCAAGATCCAGGAACCAAGCAAAGTCAGAGTGTAGAAAGGCTGAAAAAGAGTTCCAGAGGCAAATTGCAAGCGTGGTCAAGTCAAACCCAAAGGCGTTTTACCGTAATGCAAAGTCGAAATTAAAAACGCGAGTAGGAGTATCAGACCTGAGGTTTGAAAATGGTAGTGACGCACATTCTGACCAGGACAAGGTGAAGGAGTGGAACAGATTCTTTTCCTCGGTGTTCACAAGAGAGGATGCGAACGATCTTCCTGCGCTGACCCACATTATGTTCTCAGAAGAGGATATAAGAAATAAATTGTCAAAGCTAAAGGTTCATAAGAATCCCGGCTCTGACATGGTACATCCCAGAGTGTTAAGCGAGTCGTGCAGTGAGCTTGCTGAACCCTGAAGATCCTGTTCTGTAAATGCCTGGCTGAGCAAAAGGTCCCTAGTGACTGGAAAATGGCTCATGCGAGTCCTATATTCAAGAAAGGCGATTGTCACTCCTGGAAATAAGACCAGTGAACCTAACCAGCATAGTATATAAGTACGAAAGAGCATTATAAGAGATGCCATGATGGAACATTTACTACGAAACAACCTTGTAAAGGATTGCCAACGTGGTTTTATACCAGGACGCTCCTGCTTAACACAATTACTCAAAGTGAACGTTACCCTGTTTGATTCTTCTATACAGTATAGTAAACTGTTTATCTGCCTAATAATATTCTTTAAGTTATTATTCATCTATTTGGGGTTAATATTATTTAATCTTAGTTGTATGGACACTCGACTGATTAGTGCCTTCTGAGATGTTAAAAACTTCAATTAAGTCGCCCATTGCCCGTCTATAGTATAAGCTAGGCAGTTGTAGACGTTCTAATCTCTCAGGGTAACTGATGTGCCGTAGAGCAGGCACCAGTCTGGTGGCCCTCCTTTGGACATTTTCAATCCACTAAGTCTCGAGCATATTTCGAGGCCCAGACGGGGTGACAGTCCTCCAGACAGGGAAGCACCTCACTGAACGGCCTTCTTATAAGACCTACGAGCTTAGTTGCTCGGTTCACCTTCTCATAATAGCCCGAAAACTTCAGTTCGTTATCAACATACACACACAGGTCTTTTTCGCATTCGGTTTCTATTATTGCTGTTTCCTTGTTCCGTTGACATTGAATCTTAGCAGCCATTTCTTCGACCACTCTTTCTGCAGCTCTTCACAGTCCGGTTGGTTCTAAATTTCCCTAAATAACTTGGCATCGTCTGCAAACAATGTATATGGAGAAGCGTTTAGCTTCTGGCATGTCATTTATGAAACAAACAAACAACAACGCGCCCAGTACACTGCTCCGTGGTACCCCGCTTGTCACGGGTACACTTGACGATTTTGTGCCCTTAATCACCACATACTGTTTGCGGTCATGAGGAAAGTCCCCGATCCACACTAGGACACTTACCCAAATCCTGTATCCTTCTAGTCTAATTCTCAGTCTTTCCTGGGGTACACTGTCAAAATCCTTGGCAAAATCCAGTTATATATTGTAGATATTGCCACCTTGTTTCAAAATTTGAGTCCAAACATTCAGTACTTGAGTAATTGTATCAGGCAGGAGCGTCCCGGCATAAAACCGAGTTGGCAGTCCTTTACAAGGTTGTTTCGTTATAGAAGTTCCATCGTGGCATCTCATATAATGCTCTATAGTACTTTACACACAATGCTGGTCATGCTCACTGGTCTATAATTATTCGTGGAGTGGCGATCTTCCTGCTAAAATATAGGACTCACATGCGCCATTTTCCAGTCACTAGAGACCTTCTGCCTGTCCATACATCTACAGGAGCTCAGCAAACTTGTTGCTAAACTCTTAGCACTCTGGAATGCACCATGTCAGGGCCAGAGCTCTATTGAACCTTTAGCTTTGGCAATTTATTTCTTATATCCTCTTCTGAGCACGTATTTTCGCTTTGTGATATCAGCTTTCTATATCATTGGTTTATAGCCTGATAAATGAGCTGCTATTATGTGAGACTAAGTAGGTGACCCGTATCCCAAGATACCTACAACTAGCCTACTGACTTGAATTTCTTGGCTTGTCTCTATAACCAGGTTATTAGTACACTTATTGACCCTGATCAAGATATGATTCAGTTTGAGGACAGTGCTGGCCCTCAGCACTCAACATGATGTATATCGGAGGATGAATTATGAAGTGCTTTTGAAGGCACTTGAGCGTCTAAAGAACCTATGTGATAGCAATAACAAAAACACATGTACTGTACTATCGTCCTTGACTCACAAAGATCATTCTGGCAGTGATAACAGATGCGATCAGAACTCTTAATAACCGCGCCACTCAGCATTGTCTGAAGCACAACCTTGTTATCTGTTCGGCGTCGTAGGCAACTCACCAATAAATTCCACCAAGACACACTGTACCTTTATAGCTCAGTGTGGGTGCTAGTTCTCGTGTAGTCACTAGAGAAGAAGCAAAGGCTTGTGTTGAAAGTTCTCCTGTTCCAGTGTACGTCTAGATTCTCCTTCCATACTGCCATCTGTTGAGGAGCGTCCCAACATCACTTCTTGCACCTCAGTTTCTCTGCTGTAGGGAAGAAACGTAGCCTACTGACGTTGATCCTGACTTGTCCCTGAGAAATGAAGGCTCTCCTGTTCCTCCTGCTCCTAGGTGAGTCTTGTATAAGTATTCCATTTTCAATTCCGATCACAGACGCTCTCTGACACAAGGGGTGTGACTCGGTCTGGGCTCTCACGAACAAAAACTAGATACATTGTTGTGGATGTTTGAGGGTCGCCGTTTTGAGTGTTCCATACAAAATACACAGAGACAGAGACCGAGCTAAAAAAATTAGATAAAAGCACAAAACTTAATTAAATTCATTATTCGTTCAATGATTGTGACAGAAACATAAGATCACTTTATATTTTGATCGAATTATTTTCTCATATCGGCCAGTGGTCCTCAACCTGTTGTTCTGGCGCCCGCGGAACCATATTATGGAGCCCACGACCAATGTAAGTTGTTAGTATCCGTAATAATGTGTTGTGTTGTGAGTGCATCTTCCATATGTACTAACAACAGTTCTAGTGAAGATGCCATATGGAAGTTTGATCCTTGTAGTTTTATGTAATGTAATGTACCACCAGTAATGTTGTAAGAAGCGAGAGTATCTGATTGGAGTTGCAGCTGAGAAGCCAAGGAGTTGATCCTGGTAGCTGTATGTAATGTACCACCAGTAATGTTGTAGAAGCAAGAGTATCTAAGTGAATTGCAGTTGAGTAAGGCCGAGGAGTTGAACCTTGGAGTTGTATGTTACTGACATCTTTTACCTAATTTGATTCCATATTAATAAACCATTTCTTAGAGTATATTAGGGGTAAAATTTTCTCCCAGTATCCACCTTTATTTTGTCCAATGGCTTGATACCAGAATTACAGTACCCATGTGCCCTAATCCTCGTCATGCTACCAAAGGTCTGAGGTGATGAAGTAACCATGAAATGAAATATTGAGACAGAACAAATGAAGGAAATAAGACACAGAAAGAAGTATGAAATAAGAATATAAGGGAGAAGAAGAAAATCCCCACCCTTAATGGTGGCAGAGTGTCTCCGCCCTTAGAGTGGTGGCATCTGTGGTTCAGTGGTAGCATCACCGCCCTTATAATGGTGGCAGCGGTGGGATTCGAACCCACGCCTCCACATGTTTTGCGGACGTGCAGTATAATGTGAATCTACAGGTCTCAAACAGACCAGCCGTCATTGTGACCATGACATTGGAGCCCACGAAGGCTTATTAGAAAATTGTGAATTATTTGGGATTCCTTGAAGGAGTAAAATTAATGAAAATATGAAATAAATTGATACAACTTTACAGTTTGAGAGAAAGGAACTGCGCATTTGTACCGAGTCTGTCGTGTACAGGACGGTGTATTTACGCCAGACTGGGCCCATGCAGAGAGCCAGCCTTCTCACTGGGGTAAATACACACACCCTGTCCAAGAATAAATGTAAAAAGTATGTAACTGGTAACAGTTAGACTTGTAAAACTGCAAATAACTGGACAGTATGTGTGAGATTTTTTTTCTTGAGTGTAGATCCAAAGTTTTGGCGCCCTCCACTATAGTTACAATGATAAATGTGGCCCAGAGCCTACAGAAGGTTGGGGTCCACTGTTGACAATGTAGGCTAACAAGGATGTTTTCATGCTCTCTCTATCTCTCTCAATTCTTTATAAATGACAGGAAAAGTGAGAAAATTTTTACGAGATGACTAACCAGCCTAACTCTTCATAAGTCAGATTTAGTCCTTTGTCCTAGGACTTAATGTCAAGTTTGTATACCTGCACTGCCTCATGCTGATTCATTATTTATTTATCTATCTATGATGAGGTTCTTTCCCGTTTGGAGTACAGTACTGTCATCTTGTCTGGTCCCCAAAATGTGCTAGAGACTGTCAGTTGACTGAGAACATTCAAAAGAGGGTCACTAGACTGGTGCCTGCACTACGGCACCTTAGTGCCAACAGACCGATGAGTTGCGATGAGGATAAAGTAAAATAGTGAAGTAATATTTTCATTTTAAATGCGTAAACCAGTCCTTGTATTGGTATATCCAAATAACTCTAATTCTAATTCTGTATGTTAAGAGGACAACTAAACGGATTATCGCAGCCATCTTCCTTTTCACAATAATACGGACTTCCATGACTAACACGCTAACAATAATTATTATGCATTACATTAAGACATGCCTGGAGAGGATATGGATATTTCTTATCATAATAATAATCCTCAACTTAGATAACTTATCCTGCTTTTGGGACTGATAATAGCTTGGTCTGTTCCAAGACTGATAAGACAGCACTTTCAAGTTTATCAGAGTCAAGGAATGCATTGTGATATTACTGTAAGTCATTACTGATAACTCCTGGCGGCTGAAGGATTAATCCACCATGTTAAAATTAACCTCACTTAAACATTATATATATATATATATATATATATATATATATATATATATATATATATATATATATATATATATATATATATATATATATATATATATATATATATATATATAATGTAGTAAAGTAGTGTCTCATACAGTACGAGGGAAAGTTCCCGCCCAGGCTCCCCCAGCCTTTACCTTGTCGCCCCATAAAGACACACCAAAAATATCATTGGGTAGTTAGAGTAGTAATTAAATGTCGCCTTTTTTGCCCAGCGGCCACTACACGTAATAAGGGTCTTATCGGGGTAAGGAAGCTCTGGTGTTTATGAAGGAGACAATTTCTAATGGTTAACTAGTTCAGTGTTATCTAATCCAGTGTGTTTTCTCCCCTACAGGAGCGTGTCTGACAGGGTCTAAGGCTTTCTTCTGGGGGGATTTAGAGACGTACAAAAATACAGTTACCACCGACGAGGACCAGAGTCACCACCACCACCATCACCATAAACACGACTCCCACCACACCGCTACCACATTACCACAACCACCAGCACCTCACAGCAACGACACCCATACGACCACAGAGCGCTACGTGTACAACGCCACAACAGCCAGCAGCCACCTATGCCCGATGCTGTACACACGAGTGGGTGACCGCTGTCTCGCCTTCTTCACCGTCGCCAGGGTGAGTTGATGATGATCTCTCCCTTCTATACTTACCTCTCCGGAACCTTCTCTGTGGTAGGCACATGTCCCCATATCAGGTGAATCCCTTATCTCTTCATCACTGATAAGGGAGGAATGTATTAATTGATCTGTATGAATGACGAAGGTAACGATATTCAGCGGTTCGTACACGTAATATAACGGGATATAGTTATGATTGAGGGGTTCATGTAGTACAGCCTAACAATTGAGCTGAGTCAAGATGTTCTAAACGTCTCTTTGAGATCTAGACTCAGGACTAGAAAAGGCAGACGGTGTAGTGAAGAATTATGTCATACAGTTTATATCAATTGCGAGAGTGAAAATATTCAGTTGGACTTTACTTAGACTGTCCTTCAGGTGCCGTGGACTGCTGCTCAACAATTCTGTCATGGCATCTTTGGCGACCTCATCACATTCTCCAACATTCATCAATACACAGAACTCCTCCAATACCTCCAGAACTCCGGTAAGTACCAGTACCTTCAGACAGTGACGGTATATTACTGTCCTCCTCGACTGATATGCCTCAAGTTAGTACCATGGGGAAAGGTGTCAATACCTGTTAAGTATTTGTACCCAAGGTGTCCCAAAGCCATGATAAACGCGTTATAGAAATGTGTCTTCCTTCCTTCCTTCCAGAGATTGGCGTCGACCTGTGGGTGGGAGGGCACGAAGATAAGGAGGACCGCTTCAAGTGGGTATGGGTGGACCAAACGCCCATGCCCACAGGTACACCTTACTGGGCCATCAAGTAAGTGGTCCAATGTTCCATATTTTCTGATTCCTATATTGAAACACAACAACTAGCAGCAGCGTCTCTCAGTGATCTAGACTAGATAGTATTACCAAACAAATAAAACGTTACTTTAATTGATGTTAATTGTATACTTACGAACACCTCCTTTCGCTCCTTCCCTCCCCCCATTTTCCTGTCTTCCTCTCCCTCCCTCCCACCTTCTCCTATCTTTCTCTTCCTCCTCTTCTTCTCCTCTGTCTTATTTTCCCTCTCTCCCTCATTTTCCTATCTTCCTCTCCCTTCCTCCCTCCTTCCCTACAAGCCCTCCCACTCACCACCTCCTCTTCCTCAGGTCAACATTGACGAGTCCTAAAGGAGATTATTACCATCGTGGCGCCACCATCACCTACATGCAGGCGCCACTCACGACCACTTATAGAGACGATCCCGAAGAGAGGTAAGACTAACAGAGAGGATCACTGTATTAGGAAGAGGATCAGAATAACAGCAAGAAGATTAAAGAGGATTAGAATAAAAGTAAAGAGTAACATAGAGGATCAGAATAATAGTTAGAGTATCAAAGAGGATCAGAAAGATTATTATCAAAGAGGATTAGGATAACAATAAGAATATCAGAGAGAAGAATCAAAATGGCAATGAGAGGATCAAGAGGATACTAAGAGGATAAGAATGTGTATTTTTACTTATTAATGTGTATTTTTACCCTTTGCTGTGTATATTAACCCCTGAATGTGTATATTTACCCCTGAATGTGTATTGTTTAGGATACATTTCGCCTTGTGGTGTTGACAAATATCTGAAGGCTTTGTTCTTCGTCACAGGTGCGCCGCCATGACACCCAAATACTACTTCTACCTGACGGACGAACTGTGTGGTGACTGGAAGAGCCCCTTGTGTGTCCTTCGGGAGGGCGTCGAGGTTGTGATGGTTCGGGGCAGTGAGCACACATACCCTGGCATCTTCATACCCACTGACGACACCCAAACCACCTCGGTCTTGGTGGAGGACGATGGACATCACAAGGTTTCCACTGAGGCTCCCGAAGGTTCTAATGAGGAGGAAGGAGGTTCTAATGAGGAGGAAGGAGGTTCTAATGAGGAGGAAGAAGGCTCTAATAAGGAGGAAGAAGGCTCTAATAAGGAGGAAGAAGGCTCTAATAAGGAGGAAGGAGGCTCTAATAAGGAGGAAGAAGGCTCAGGAGAAGAAAAAGGTTCGGGAGAGGAGGATGCCAATAATACCCCGGAAAGCGACGACGAGGACTCAAGCGAAGAGGCGGGGGACGGAGAGGAAGGTTCTGGCGCAAAGTATAACTCCAAGTCTGATTATATTTTCTCCTTCAACAATATCTTCATTGACCAAGCTGATTAACCTGGAGACAATTACACATTAATATTCCTTTTGATGTTGAGTGTAGTTAGGCATTTATAAAATTATGCCTTGGTGTGCTTGATGCTGTGTGTGTGTGTATGTTCTGAGTGTTGATAACGATAAGTTATCTTTATTTAATTCTAGTTTATAATAGTGTTTATGATTACTGGCTGACGAGTGTGACCATAAGTATTGGTTCTCAAATATACTTACATTACATACAGTATAAACTGAAACACCCGAATTGTGATGATGTTTCTGCTATGAATAAATTATTAAAGTTCCATCTTACTTCCATTAACCTTGTCAGTAAACTTTCACATTACTTATTTATGTTGTTACCTGTGATAATAATTAGACCTTGTTAGCTGTGATATACTTTGTCTTATGCATGGAGAGTGAGGAGAGGAATGGGGGTAATGACTCACAAACATTTCAAGTTATCTTTACTTCACCAGATTATGACGACACATGATACAAATGAGATGTTTATACTCATTATACAATACCATCTTTATTGAGGAATAAATATATACATCGTTAAAACTAAACCAATATAATATACATTTTTTACAAGTTCACATTTTTATATACAAATGAAGGAAGAATCCCACCTGTAATCCAAAAAAATAAGGGACCCCGTATATAAAGCTGAAGAAGCAATAATATACTTTTGTTATGTATGTACAAAATAGAATAATTTAGAATAACTTATAATGCCCTATATCCCTACTATATCTCAATAAGTTAGATAATTATTGTTAGATACATTTATAAGATGAAAATACTCCTGTGACTATATTTACCCTCACTTGTGAATGCTCTTCATATTTCTGGGGTAAATAACAGTCTTTAAAAACATCAACATTTCACCTACAGCATCTCTCACTTTTGATTTATTATTACATCTTAAATTAACCTGTGATTCTCTTGTTTATTCTGTTGTTTTGTGTTGTTTGATGGTGGTAACGGTTTGTGTTTAAGGATTATAATCAGAGAATAATAATTGTCTGATATGTCTTGTTTGTGCAGTTGTGTCATTATAAACCAACATCCATCATCATCAATCATCAATCATCATCATCAACAACTTTCAACCTGTTCACACCTATACCCGTGTTCAAAACTGTACACATCTACTATAACACCTGTTCAAACCAGTCATTTTCACCTGTGCACGAATTTAAAGATGTTCAAAACTTCTCGTGCCTCTCTCTCTACTTGTTCACCCTGTTCAAACCAGTCATTTTCACCTGTGCACGAATTTAAAGATGTTCAAGACTTCTCGTGCCTCTCTCTCTACTTGTTCACCCTGTTCATCATACCTGTTCATCAACTTGGTACAACATGAGGTAATGGTGTTACTATTGAGGGTGAATATTTGAGGTAGCTTGCGTCACTCTCGGTGGGGAAGAACGAAGAAGCAGTTAGGTCACTTTTACGTGGCCTGGTAGTTACAGGAGGAGTAACGGGAAGAAAGGTTGGTAAAGTCAGTTTGATAGTCACCTCAAGTAGACAGTCACGTCAACAGAGAATCAGTTAAGTGGTAACCTTAGCAGACAGTCAGTTGAGTAGTAACCTTAGCAGACAGTCGGTTGAGTAGTAACCTTAGCAGACAGTCAGTTGAGTAGTAACCTTAGCAGACAGTCAGTTGAGTAGTAACCTTAGCAGACAGTCGGTTGAGTAGTAACCTTAGCAGACAGTCAGTTGAGTAGTAACCTTAGCAGACAGTCAGTTGAGTAGTAACCGTAGCAGACAGTCAGTTTAGCAGACAGTCAGTTTAGCAGACAGTCAGTTCAGCAGACAATCACCTCAGCAGACAAGGGTCAAACAGTGGCCCTCAGCTAGAGAAGAGTCTGCAACGCTATTGAAGCCGACCGTCCAAACTTACCCAAGTGAATTATATTTCTGAGAAGTGAAAACAACAGTTATATTAATTATTAGCCCAGAATTATTTAGTCTTAGAATTATATGTTTATCAGAATTATATTATACTGTATATCCCGGAATCATATATATTTCAGAATTATGTGCTAATCTATCACAGGTGCTGTCTAGTTAGCCCATTCACAGGTGCTGACTTAATTACAGGTGCTATCTAATTTGTCTAATTACAGGTGCTGTCTAATTACTACAATCACAGGTATTTTCTAATTTGTCTAATCATACCTGTTATCTAATTAGTTCAATCACAGGTGTTATTTAATTTACCACATTCACATGGAGTTATTAAATATAATCTATCGTGTTTTTAAAAGGAGTCAACATGTCCCATCACCACACAGTACAGTACCTCGTTAGTGTATTGTTATGTGTTGTCTAATTAAGTTAAATCACAGGTGTTTCGTGACGTAGGTTTACATTCCAATTGATCACTGATATAAATACGATCATTAGTGTTTCTCAGTGATCCACAATAACTAGTAGTGTTTCTCAGTGATCTACAGCAACTAGCAGTGTTTCTCAGTGATCTACAGCAACTAGTAGTGTTTCTCAGTGATCTACAGCAACTAGTAGTGTTTCTCAGTGAACCACAATAACTAGTAGTGTTTCTCATTGATCTACAGCAACTAGTAGTGTTTCTCATTGATCTACAGCAACTAGTAGTGTTTCTCAGTGATCTACAGCAACTAGTAGTGTTTCTCAGTGATCTACAGCAACTAGTAGTGTTTCTCAGTGATCTACAGCAACTAGTAGTGTTTCTCAGTGATCTACAGCAACTAGTAGTGTTTCTCAGTGATCTACAGCAACTAGTAGTGTTTCTCAGTGATCTACAGCAACTAGTAGTGTTTCGCAGTGATCTACAGCAACTAGTAGTGTTTCTCAGTGATCTACAGCAACTAGTAGTGTTTCTCAGTGAACCACAATAACTAGTAGTGTTTCTCATTGATCTACAGCAACTAGTAGTGTTTCTCAGTGATCTACAGCAACTAGTAGTGTTTCTCAGTGATCTACAGCAACTAGTAGTGTTTCTCAGTGAACCACAATAACTAGTAGTGTTTCTCAGTGATCTACAGCAACTAGTAGTGTTTCTCAGTGATCTACCACTAACTAGTAGTGTTTCTCAGTGATCTACAGTAGTGTTTCTCATTCTACAGCAACTAGTAGTGTTTCTCAGTGATCTACAGCAACTAGTAGTGTTTCTCAGTGATCTACAGCAACTAGTAGTAGTGTTTCTCAGTGATCTACAGCTAGTAGTGTTTCTCATTGATCTACAGCAACTAGTAGTGTTTCTCAGTGATCTACAGCAACTAGTAGTGTTTCTCAGTGATCTACAGCAACTAGTAGTGTTTCTCATTGATCTACAGCAACTAGTAGTGTTTCTCAGTGATCTACAGCAACTAGTAGTGTTTCTCAGTGATCTACAGCAACTAGTAGTGTTTCTCAGTGTAACTAGTAGTGTTTCTCATTGATCTACAGCAACTAGTAGTGTTTCTCAGTGATCTACAGCAACTAGCAGTGTTTCTCATTGATCTACAGCTCAATCTACAGCAACTAGTAGTGTTTCTCAGTGATCTACAGCAACTAACTAGATCTACAGCAACTAGTTTTTCTCAGTGATCTACAGTTCTACAGCAACTAGTAGTGTTTCTCAGTGATCTACAGCAACTAGCAGTGTTTCTCATTGATCTACAGCAACTAGTAGTGTTTCTCAGTGATCTACAGCAACTAGCAGTGTTTCTCATTGATCTACAGCAACTAGTAGTGTTTCTCAGTGATCTACAGCAACTAGTAGTGTTTCTCAGTGATCTACAGCAACGAGTAATGTTTCTCAGTGAACCACAATAACTAGCAGTGTCTCTTAGGGACCTTGGTTTTAGATCCGTATTCCCAGACAGTTAGTTCCCGACTGTTGGCCTTGCCGGAAGGGCTCTGGGGCCAAACACATCTCACCATCAATATTGTGAATGGAAGGTTCTGTTGTACCCAAACATGACATCTACTTCCTCGGTACTGTCATACTCAGGGGTAGATCACCATGAACTACAGTGAACTACGCTGTGATGGTGATAGTACAAGAAAGTCTAATAAATAGGACGAAAAAAGGATTTATTTACAGCCGTAAGTGGTAAAGCACACAACACGCTGGAGCCTCATCAGTCAAGCGCCTTAAGAACACGAGAGCTCAAAAGGTGTTCTGAACAATCCTTTAGTAAACTTCAGAAGTCAAAAGATCTTGACTAACGCCTCCAGGAGCATTCAGGGGTACGGAAAATCTCCAGATTGAGTTTCACAAAACACCCTCAAAATTGAGAGGATCTTCTACAAGCTCTAGGAGATAATCTAGGAGGATAAAATATCTCCAGGGACCAAAGATCTCCAAATATATTTAATACACCTCCATAAATATTCTTCCAATAGATGTATAAATTTTATGGTCTGTAAAACAACTTATAAAAATCTGAAGGAACTCAATGGGTGCTTTATACACGGCAGCGGGTGACTCCCAAACACTCCGGGCTTCGTAAAAGGTCTCCAGGTAGTGAGTATTGGTACTGTAAGCGTTCAGAAAGATTTATTGGGATGGTGCTGATATGAGGGAGAGTTTTGATGCTGTTGATGGTGCATTCCCGTCCCACTAGACATGCCCATGAAGAGGTTCTGCCAGTACCTCCAGGGTGACGTCATACACATGGCCCTGGTTTTGGGGCACGGGTATTGCTTCAGGCATTCCACGAACTCACGGTCACACTCGCATAGTTGATGACCGCAGCTGTTGACCGCCCCATTTGGACCCTTCGTTGTTACTGAAACACAGAAATGGATACGATAAACATATAAAGTGGAACCTTTATTTAACGGACTATGTGGAGAGGAAAATCTATTATATCGACGATCCGTTAGATACAAAACCTCCGTATAACGAACTATATAGATATGAAAGTCCGTTATACGAAGGATCTTTCAGATGTGAGATCTCCATATAACGGATTATATGGAGAGAGAAGTCCGTTATATGGAGGTTTCACTGTATAAAAGTCAAGCTCATAAATCTTTCCTTAGTAAGAAAACCTGATGCTAATATATACAAGACTGGATGATGTCTTTAGGGGTGACTAGAAATTCCTCTTTTTTATTATGGGGTTAGGTTAGGTTAGGTTAGGTTAGGTTATGGTCCATCTGCTTGCGGTGGCACTTATATATGGCCACTATGAGAGTCAGGTGTACAGTAGGTAGCAGAGTCCCAGTCTTGTTAAGGCAGGTAGAGTATAGGTCACCTGTAGTAATAAAAAACGCCTCACCAACACCAACCATAATATACGTTGACAATGTGTTAAAGTAAGTGTCCTCAGTGTGTGTGTCCGTAGCGCTATATAGATCTACAAATACTTATCTGGTCAATGCGTCAGTCCCGAGGTTGAGGGAAGGAAGTCTCCAGGTGTCGTGATGGGTGGGTGAGGAGCGCCAGCAGGTGTAACTTGTCGTGTGTGTCAGGGTTCTTCTTGGGTGTGGGGAACTACAGGATAGGCGTTACAAGGGGGTTTTTTCTAGTAAGTTTCCTGAGAATTGGAACTTTATGATCATCTCAGTGAAAGTTCCTCAAGTTCATTCTGGGGCCAAGAGCCAGATGCGTCTCGGTTAAAGTATGACATGTTTTTTTTTTATGGTTTGAGGAACTTGTATAAAAAACTACACGAGATTTTATGATTTCTTCCCTGAACCACTTAATGGAGGTTCACCAAAGGTACAACTTGGCTTAAAGTCAGATTTTAGCAGAACTCAACTTCCATGTGGGAGTGTCAAGTTTGTATCCCAGGCACATATTTATTTGTGGATGTGTTGTGCAGCTGTCAAATTCCGATGGCATGTGACCCTCCCACAGTGTCAAGGGGTCAGAGGGTCGTCACAGAAGAGTTCATCCCGACATCTTACCACATCTGGGACCTCGTTGTTGACAAGTCCAGAGATACGAAGCAAAATACATAAGCATAGGGGGGCAGCTGGCGCGGTAGTAGCACCAGTCATGTCTTGCACAGCATCTGTTGAGGAGTCGCCAATGTCAGCTCTACTATACTATACTTTATATTAATCTATTCATAGTCTGTGTCAGTTTAAGTTACGAGTCTTACTGGTGTCAGTAACAGTCAGGGTATGTCTGTAAAGAGAGTCCCAAATTGAGCATTAAAGGAAGGGAAACCATCGTCTGTCACAGTAGGTGTCTGGTGGTAGTGCTTAAGTTTGGTCTAGCTGCAGCCATATATATAAGGTAAAATAATTCATACTTCATATTTAATACATATAAAACAGATCATAATTATAGCTGAAAAAAAAAGCCAGAGTCAACATAAATCATAGGCGTCTGGGAAAAAGATGTCAACACTTTTAAGTAAGTTTCTCTGGCAGTAATTCCCGTTTTCTATGATGGGCAGCAGCACCAGACTCACCACAATATGGCTTCCCTCCATTGCACTTCCACTTGTAAGGTGTGAAGTAATGATCAAAACCTGTGCATCTAGCGTGCTCATAACACCAGTCGTGCCCCTTACAACACCTGTAATAAGGAAGTGAACACAAACTAGAAACGTGAGTGGACAGGTAACAGGTTCTCCCGAGTCCCATTAAATGTTGTGATTTTGGTGTCTGTAATACCAACATAATAACACACATTATATTACCAACTATCTTTCAGCCTGGTCAAAGTATAAAAGAGAAGAACTTAATATTACATATAATTTTGTTGTAATAGTTGGTGACAAAGTATACTTCTTGGCAAACTGTATTATTATTAAGTGAAATCTGAGGAAAATGACAGTCAAAATACACTCCTGCATTACCTGACGTCCACATCAAACACGGTGATTTTATCAAGACCAAATCACTAAAATTGAGAAAAATAACCAACCAAACTTAGCCCTGGGTTAGGTTAGTTTGGTGTTAAGATTTGAAACATTGTTCGTATTTTATTTTACATTACATATTAGAGGAACAAAATACTAGTAAAAAAGTAGTGTAGAATATAAGAAAAAAATGAAAGTTTAGCTAAAGTAATTACAGTCATGTACTTGATCAATAGTCATTTGACATAGAACCATAACTACGACTCTTCACTCACTTGTCAATCCCATCGACTACGACTCCTGAGCCGAGGAAGCCACAGTAACAGCCGTAGCCTTTGTAGTCGAACGGGTTACAGGTGGTGGCACACGTCATCATACTGTACAGGTGGAAAACAGAACGTTTGCGTCTTGTGGTGGTGGTGGTGGTGGCGTCATTCTGGTCCGTCAGCTGATGTTTGTTATTGTTTTGATTCTCTTCACTGAGGAACGTGGCGACGGCTGTTTGATCTATAAGGTAAGGAATTGTTTTTTTCATAATGTGTAGTCTAACAGCCACCCATTAAACCAAAACAACTCTTATTAGAACTTGACATAGGTGTTATTGTTTATTGTATTGTGTTATAATAATGATCACTGGTAACTGTACCGGCAAGTGAAGGCCTGACGATCGGATATCCCCCCCCCCCTCCCCTAGCACTTTTCTGAACGTTGTTGGGTAGTTTTTGGAACTATCGTGATGTTGCATTGTGTCGATATCGGCCTTCACTGATTATGGCTCTGGCTACTGGACAATTGCTTCCACACACACACACACACACACACACTTCTAAAATCACTGGGAAAGTTGACCACAAAAGCGTTTCACGAGGCAGCAGTTATTATTGTGATAGCCAGCCTGTGTGCCCCCCTCCTACTCCCCCCTCGTCATCGTCCTTCCCTTCCTCCTCTTCCTATCTTCCTCGCCTTCATCTTCCCTCTATTACCTTCCTCATTATTTTCCTCTACTTTCTCCTTCCTTATCTCCCCACTTCCCTTCTCCCCCCTATCATCCTCTAACTTCTTTTCTCCATCTGTTTCTTCCTCCCTTCACTTACCTCAATCCTTCCTCCCCCCTCTCTTTCCCTTTCTCCTGTCACTATTACCCCCTCTCTTTTCCATTTCCCTTTCCCTCTATTCTCCTCCCTGCCTTCCCCACTCCCTCCTCTTCCTCCTACTTCTCTTCCTCTTCTCTGGACGTGTGATGAGGATCTATCCAGCTTATAGACACGAGCAGGGACTAGGTATGGCGAGACTCACTTAATTTATAATCGTTGGTGATAAGTGTATATACTCTCTCTCTCTCTCTCTCTCTCTCTCTCTCTCTCTCTCTCTCTCTCTCACGTGTCTTAGAAAACATTGCTCTCTAATCAGGGTTGAAGAACGAGGGTGGATGGGAAGTGTTGAATGGATAGCATAGAGTGCGTTAAATTAGATATCAATAGAGTGCGTTCAACGAGGTATGCATAGGGTGCGTTCAACGAGGTATGCATAGAGTGCGTTCAACGAGGTATTCATAGTATAAAAACCAGGAAATGTATAAGGAAATGGGGAAAAAATTAATAAAACGAATCGAAGACAAATTATTAATAACGGGTGAGAGAGGAGAGGAAAAGAGGGCGGTATAGGCCTACTAGTGATGATACAAGGCGGCATAGGCCTACTAGTGATGATACAAGGTGGGAGTACATTAGACTTGGGTTTGGTAAAAGGGTTTCATTTGGGAGTCTTAAGGGAGAAAGATTGGGAATATTTTGGGTGTTGTTAGAGTTGGCACCAGACGAGTGTGTGTGTGTGGGTGTGTGTGGGTGTGGGTGTGGGTGTGTGTGTGTGTGTGTGTGGGTGTGTGTGTGTGTGTGTGTGTGACAGGGAGGGAGAGAGAGAGAGAGAGTCAAAGGATGGCCTCACATCATCACAATGCCTCAGCGGACACCAATACCTGCTGGGAATAGAGACGAGGCATCACAAGGTTGGCTGTATAGTCGTGTGGAGGTCAAGTCTACCTGTGAGGGGTCTACTGTGATCTCTCTCTCTCTCTCTCTCTCTCTCTCCTTGCCTCTCGGTCTCAGAGACGTCTAGAACAGCCCGAATCTAGGTCAGGTGAATGAATGGCATAAGATATACACACCACCTTCTAACACTTACATATTTTAATACCTATGTACATGAGGTTACGTACACATGTAGGTCAAGTCCATATTTAGTACTTAATTTCACCTAGATACGTGCATGGGTTAAGGTCATTTACTGTGCGTACATTACAGTAGAGTGAGTATGTATGTATGTATGTATGTATGTATGTACACAGATGTAGACTAACACAACACAACACAACACACACACACCTGGAGAAAGTATTTAATTAGTACACAGGTATCATCTCAACACACCTGACCACTACTACTACTACTACTACAAGGTACTACTACTTTCACCTGTACCTCGCTACCCTAATTAACCTTGACCTCACCTGTTGATGTTAATGGATACACCTGGTCAGCCAACACCTGTCAGTACTCTCCACCTCCAGGTAAACACATACAAAGACAGACAAGTCAACAGACAGACTGACAGACATAGACACACATACGTAGACAGATACCCCTCTGAAATGTAAAAAAAAAAAATAGTGTAAATAGCCCAAAATTTTACACAATTTACACATTGGATATAATTTACACCTTTGAGATATTTTACTTTCCACAATTTACACAGTTTTGATTTTTTTTCTCCATAATTTACATATCTTTCACAATCTAGAAAATTTATAGCATTTACATAGTTTTACACATTTGAATATCTTGCACACCATTGACACATTATTTTACAAATTTTACACGATTTATACATTTTTACACATTTACCCATTTTACACAATTTACACGATTTACACATTTTTAAACGATTTACACAATTTTGTACAATTTACACAGTGTGAGTGAAAGTAGACTATATCTGGTTACTGCTTCCTTACCATAGCGGAGATTCTGTGTAGTTACGGTCATCTGATTATAATGATTCGTCAACTGCACCTGATTGGCTCTTCTGATAGTCACTTTGTGTCCTGATGGGCTAAGCGAGGCCGGTTTATCTGTTGTTATTGTGAGTTATTACTGAGCCTTGGCCTATCTGTCGTGTATGTATGTATGTATGTATGTATGTATGTATGTATGTATTTATGTATGTGCGCTTACATCCACTCCAACACCTTTACCTGTACATTATCAGCCTAATCTACATACTAATATATATACAGTAATTTATATAGCATAATTTTTATACAATGATTTATACCCGTACCTGAGTCCCAAATGTATATTAATGTTTCTGAGTGTGATTTTGAGTGTGATTCTGATTGGTAATGAGTGGTTTTCCTTAAACCTGAACCAATACATTGTGACTCAAGTTCTGTGGTTTAGGGGAAACTGTGTGTGTGCAGAGTAGAGAGTTGCTACACACACACACACACACCCAACACACACACACCCAACACACACACACACACAACACACACACACACCCAACACACACACACCCACACACACACACACACATATACATAACAACACACACACACACACACCCAACACACACATACACACACAACCCAACACACACACACACACACACACACACACACACCATAACTCTTTGGCTCTTTAAACATGATCGACCAATACATAAAGAACAAAATAATATGAAGGCAGAGACAGACAGAGACAGATAGAGAGACAGACAGCCTGAGAGACACAGACAGAGAGACAGACAGGCAGACAGAGAGACAGACAGACAGAGAAACAGAGCAGACAGAGAGACAGACAGAGAAAGTAGGAAAAGATTACGAGGCAAAATTGTTGACGACACCGTAGTAAACAGAGGCAGCAGCGCCACGTGGTGGATCAACTCAACAGCTGACTAGTGTAAACAAAAGCCACACAAGTTACCAGTTAGGGAATTTTCGTCTTTTTTCCCCCGTATTTTGTTTCTTAGTTCTTGTTTAAATATTTTGTTATTATATTTTGTCTCTAGTTATTGATTATTTTCCCAGATTTATTATATTTTATTTACTGTGAGTCCAAGAAGAAAGAAACATGTAAATGGGGAAAAGATTAAAACACTTTCAAACAACATAAACGAACAGTCATTAGTGGGGGTATGATAGTGCTATGTGACGGAAGCTATAGGGTTGAATGCGTAAGTATAACACAATAGATAAATAACCCTTATAGACATCTTGAGGGTGGGGCTGTATGGGTGTGAGAGAACTTCGTATTTACCTCCTGATATGTGGTCAACGGTAAGGAGTGAAAATCATTTTTTTTTTTTTTTTACGTTCAACACACTGAATGACGCCACTGTGAACGTAGCACCATATGGTAGTCACAGTGCTGAGTAAGTTACCTGTATTTACCTGTTATCTACTTCATTGTATTGTTTTCTATACGTGATTATTCCATTTTATTTACACACGTCAGGAATAGGAGCCCGAGTTTGCATAATTGTCACTGTTCTGTTGTGTAGAGGTTAGGTTAGGTTAGGGTTTTAGTGTAACCTTATTGAGGAAGGCTATAGGTAGAAGGATAAAGCGTGGCGAAATTTACCTCCAGGATTATTATAAGATATTGGCAAGTAGGGTTAAAACCGAGATAAGGAAAGCCAAGAGGAATAATGAGGTAAGGATAGCAAGGGAGGCGAAGACAAAACCCAAGGGATTCTACCAAATGTATCAAACTAAAACACGAGAAAAGATTGGACCAATACGGTCAGACTCCGGCGAGCTCACTGATAACGACGGAGAAATGAGCAATAATTTGAATAAATATTTTTCAACAGTTTTCACCACCGAAAATTTAAACATGATACCCGAGGCACCGACTCTATTCAGAGATAGTGAAGAAAACAAATTAAGCGAGATAGTAGTGACTAGTAACGATGTTAGTAAGCAAATAGACAAACTAAAGCCTAATAAGTCACCTGGTCCCGATGAGATATTTGCCAGAGTATTAAAGGAATGTAAGGAAGAGCTTAGTATGCCCTTATGAAGTTGTTTAACATGTCCTTAAAAACAGGTGTAGTACCAGAATCCTGGAGGATAGCGAATGTAATACCGATTTTCAAGAAGGGGGATAGATTACTATCCTCTAACTACTGCCCAATCAGTCTAACATCAGTAGTAGGCAAATTACAGGAAGCAATCATTTCAAACTCTGTGCAAGAAATCACCTGGAGAAGCACCCGATTGATCAATGATTCCCAGCATGGCTTACCGGGCGTTCTTGTCTAACTAATCTATTAACATTCTTTCATCAGTTTTCGAATCGGTGGACGAGGGGCACAGTGCGTGTGGTATATCTCGACTTTAGCAAAGCCTTCGACAGAGTCCCCCACGAAAGACTAATTAGAAAGGTAAAAGCTCATGGCATCAAAGGTAACATCCTTAAATGGATTAGGGCGTGGTTACAGGACAGGAA